GCGCTCCTGGCAGGCAGCGCCAGGATCTCGGCTGGAACAGCTCCAGAGATGGGCGTGTGATGGGATGGCTCCCTGGAAACACTCACCTGCTGTCTCCCTGAAAAACATTCACCTATTGCCTCTCCAAAAAACACTCACCTATTGCCTCTCTGAAAAACACTGACGTCCTATTGCCTCCCCAAAAAACATTCACCTCCTATTGCCTCCCTGAAAACATTCACCAATTGCCTCCCCAAAAAACATTCACCTATTGCCTCCCCAAAAAATATTCACCTCCTATTGCCTTCCCAAAAAACATTCAGCTCCTATTGCCTCCCTGAAAATTATTCACCTCCTATTGCCTCTCCAAAAAACATTCACCTCCAATTGCCCAGCCTGAAAACACTCACCTTCTATTGCCTCCCTGAAAAACATTCCCCCCTTTTTCCTCCCTGAAAACCCTTCGCCTCTATTGCATCCCCAAAAACATTCACCTCCTATTGCCTCCCTGAAAACATTCACTTCCTATTGCCCAGCCTGAAAACCCTCACCTCCTATTGCCTCCCTGAAAACATTCACCTATTGCCTCCCTGAAAATTATTCACCTCCTATTGCTCAGGCTGAAAAATATTCTCCTATTGCCTTCCTGAAAAACACTCACCTATTGCCTCCCCAAAACATTCACCTCCTATTGCCTCCCCAAAAAACATTCACCTCCTATTGCCTCCCCAAAAATCATTCACTCCTATTGCCTCCCTGAAAACATTCACTCCTATTGCCATGCCTGAAAAACATTCACCTTCTATTGCCTCCCTGAAAAACATTCATCTCCTATTGCCCAGCCTGAAAACATTCACCTTCTATTGCCTCCCTGAAAAACATTCCCCCCTTTTTCCTCCCTGAAAACCCTTCGTCTCTATTGCCTCCCCAAAAAACATTCACCTCCTATTGCCTCCCTGAAAAATATTCACCTCCTATTGCTCAGGCTGAAAAATATTCTCCTATTGCCTTCCTGAAAAACACTCACCTATTGTCTCCCCAAAACATTCACCTCCTATTGCCTCCCTGAAAACATTCACCTATTGCCTCCCCAAAAACACATTCACTCCTATTGCCTCCCCAAACCACATTCACTCCTATTGCCTCCCCAAAACACATTCGCTCCTATTGCCCTGAGCTCAGCAGGATGGGGAGGTGACAAGACGGCCCCAGAGCCCTCGGTCCGTCCATCCCCAGGGCTTTCAGGGCTCGGGCTGGCCCCGGCCGGAGCAGGGGAGGGGATGGGGCAGGAAACGCTGAGCACAGAAGCACAGGAGGTCGGGGAAGGGCCATGGGAAGGCAGAGGCTGCCGACAACCACAGCCCTTCCCCACACAGCCCCCCGAGGGTGGGAGATGGGAGAAGCCCGGGGGGAAAGTGCAGGAAACAGGGAAGGGTCACAGGGGGTTTGAGGTGATCCAATGTCGTTTTCTGCTGGGTTTCCCAGGGTATTTCCTAGATGAAAACTTCCTTTCTCCTTGGGTGAAAAGATGCAAGTGGTAATGAGATAGTCGGAGCAGAGCAGGGTAAAAAATGATGTGGTTTTCCTAAAACCAGATAAAATGGCACAGATGGGAGTGGGCACACTCTGAGGATGGACAGGGGTGAGGAGGAAGCATGAGGAGCACACTGGGAAAGGGATTAAGGAGGGAAATGGGGAGAGCTGGAGCCCACGGGGAGGGAAGGATGATCCACCTCGGGGACAGGCAGCAGAGAGGACGAGGAGCTTTGTGGTTGTTTGCTCCATGATCCTGAGCCAAAGGAAAACCAGGATGTGGTGGGCACGGAGGGTTTCCAGCGATGTGGAAATCACAGCTGGGTTTGGGGGGTCTGGGCATCAAACCAGCAGCAGAGGATGAGGAGGGTCCTGGCAAGGCAAGGCACAGCCATTCCCAGCTCCTGCAGCCCCAGCACTGGGAGAAGACACGGAGATTTATTTTGCTGACACAGAAATCTGGCCGTGGTTGTTTCTTTTGGGTAATCAAAGCAGCAATCCAAATGAAAGCCAAACCCAGGAGAAGCCAGCCCGTGGGTGTCCCCAGCCCCCAGGGTGACTCAGCCTCGGGGAGGAAAAGCTGAGACTGCCTGGCATCCACAAACCACGGCTGTGCTTGGGAAAGAGGAATTATTTCCAACTTCCAGTGATAAGCACATGGTGAGGAGGGAGATTCAAAGCCAACAGGGCTGCTCCAGCCTCGGTTTAACAACAAAAAAAAGTGGCAGAGATGCCTGAAAATGGGACAACTCCAGCCCTCCAACAGCAGCAGGGCCAGGGGGATGATGCTCCTCCCTTGCTGACCCCGCTCCAGGACCTCGAGGAGGGGAAAAGGAAAAAATAAATCACTTTTTGGCAAGGCACTGATGCAAACCGGCTGCCAGGCTGAAAATGCACCTCTCTGAATGCATGCAGCATGGGACTGTGTGAGCCAGGCATGCCTGGGGGCTCGGCTGGGATTCCTACAGCGCTTTAAGCCCCGAGAAATTTAATACCGAGCAGATGGGCGGGTGTGGAGCGGGATCGGCGCAGGTTTGGATGCGGGAGAGGTTTGCAGACACTCAGATATTTTTAAAAAACAGCAATAAACGATATATCTATATC